TACTGATATGACATTCACGCCTGATTATAAAATTTTCAAACTTCCTCCGTAAAATGTCAGCATTACCTGGAGGTGGCCCTGGCATTATACAGCAATAGAGAGCGTGTTCCTGTGAAGAGGCATTATGACAGAAGAGATCTGTTTTCCTCTCTCTCTCTCTCTCTCTCTCTCTCTCTCTCTCTCTTATTTTAGGTTTTCCTCTCTCTCTCTCTCTCTCTCTCTTATTTTAGGTTTTCCTCTCTCTTTCTCTCTCTCTCTCTACAAAGGCTCTTAATTGTGCCACTGTCATGTGGAATTTCCATTTTTTAGCATTGCCAAGGATAGGGTTTAATTATCAAGTTCATCAGTTTTACTGCCCGTTTGCTAATAGACATTAAGGAAATGACTTCTATGCTTCACTCAGAAATATTCGCCCCAATGAGGTTTGCTCGGAAATGGAGCCATTACAGAGGACGTCCACTTAGTATCTAAATAAAGAACAATAAAGTGACTCCAATTACCGTTATGGCCCAAATTTCTGTTGACTCTACTTTTGTTTCATTGATATTCATCTCGCAGCATTTTGATTCTACAAAGTAATTGTTTTTAAGCTATTTTAAGGTTTCAAGACCGATTAGATGTATATGTTAGCAAAACAATATTCCTACAATCGCGTAGCTATGATGACCTTTGGTTAAGGGCAATTTAATTTTCTTTGTCCTGAAATTTCAGCTGGCGTTTTCTGCGACTTCGCTTTTTCAAACAATTCGATTCCTAATGATTATATGAAGGATATTGTGTGTATCAAAAATGCTTTGTTAAGTTAGGGTTTTTTGTTCACCAATTCCTTCAACAGTTATTTTGCATTCATGTTCTCGTTGATCAATTTAAAATCGCTTCTGGCTCGCACGTATTGCAATTAGTAGGAAAAGATGCTTTGCTTTTAAAGGTGCTTCTTCATCATTTAACGACATTTGCCTCCAATATTCTACAATTGTATTTTTTTTTCGGCATACATTTATCAAAGGACCGCTTAGGATTTTAGCGTCGAGGTGGATATCCTAGTGGATTGATACTAGAGGAAAATATGGCAGTCTTCTCGATTATCCTTTTCGATCTTTTTTACAGCGATCAAACGGAATTGCATAACGAATCTTCAGACCGGTAACAAATCAAGAATTCTCAGTTACAGAAACCAGGGACCCGGAACATCTATGGTGTCTAAAACAGAATTGAAAAAGAGGGTCCCGCCGACAAATTGTGAAACGTAGAGTCCGGGGATTAAGTTACTATACTATCTACTCATCCGTTTGAGACTTCCGGTTTTAAATGGCCGCCTGTCGGACTGTTCGTTTACCGTTTGACCAGTGAGGGTCTACTCGGGCCCTGAAATGACCAAAATACACGAGCGCCCTTTTCAAGAT